ACTTTAACCTTTTGACTGTCGCAGGCCCCTTTCTGAAACTGTCATTCTATGTCGCAAAATATTCGAAAAAAAAAATTATTTTTTCTTATGAAAATGTTAGGATTATTTTTCTGAGTGTTTTAAGCCTAAAAAATTTTTTTTGCCATCAGTACTTACCGAGATATACAGCCGCAAAGTTTGCAGAAAGTGACGTGCGTACGGCAACAGCGGCGACTGCTGCCCACCCTGTATTCTTTTATTTATTCTAATTCAAAAGTTTCTTGTATTTTCCAATATTTTTCTTTTCCAAGTAACTTATGTGGCCTGTGAGACTAATGTAAGGTGCATTGTTCAAATATACACTCATTGTTTACAACACAATAACTGAAAAAACTTTATCACTATTAGTTTGTGTATACAGTTTGTTTACACAAACAAACAATACAAAACAATGTTTATTACTATTGTTCCATAATATATATACATATGTACAGTCACTGAACACGTTCCTAGAACTGCTGCAGCTTGTGGAACTCTTTGAAACATGGGTATATGCAGAGTGGCACTTGACACTCCTCACACATAAAACGAGTGTCTCTGCGTGTTTGTGGACGTTTTGTGGTATGTGTACATACATAACACTTCTTCTGAGCATTTTTCTTGGCAGTAGTAGGAGGCAGTTGTATGGAGTAGTGATCACCAGGCCTGAAACGAGATGGCGTGTGTTGGTAATTTCGTGGGCGCTGGTCTATTGCAGGTGTTGCTCCTTGGTACTTTGCGATTATTTGTCTGATTACTGACAAACAAAATTCACCATATTTTGGTGTTTTGTTGGTCTTCAACTTGTATATGTTATAAGCATTTAGCATGGAGATATCAACAAGATGGAAAAAAAGTTTTATATACCACTTATAACTCTTGCGTACACAATCAGCAAACCCAATCTGCATGTCACATTTGTCCACTAAGCGCATATTGAGATTGTAGTCCATGACAACTGCAGGCTTTAGAATGGGTTCATTGGTCTCTCTGTTGTGCCTGCCACTGTGTGCCATTTCGTTTGGGTGAACTGATGTCAACAATGTGACATCACGTTTGTCATGCCACCGAAATGCCATGATGTCATTGGCAGCAAAGGCTTGCACCTCACCTCTGCGAGTGCCAGCGTTGAACCTTGGCATATGTTTACGATTACCACGCATTGTGCCCCACACGTCTGTCAGGTTCACTCGCAAGAAATCACTGAGTAAGGGGCTTGTGTACCAGTTATCAGTAAATAACATATGCCCCTTACCAAGATATGGTTCCATCATTGTTCTAACCACATCACCAGGGATACCCAATAACTTCATGGTATCTCTCAAAGTATTACTGCCAGTGTACACAATGATATCCAAAACTAGACCACTTCTGCAATCACAAAGTACAAATAACTTTATACCAAAGCGTTTCCTCTTGCTTGGTATATATTGCTTGAATGAGAGTCTTCCTTTGAATAAAATCAAGGACTCATCAATAACAAGCTTCCTGAAGGGATAAAAATACATGCAGCACTTTTGTTTCATGTACATAAACACATTTCTGATCTTATATAACCTGTCGCTTCTGTCAGGCCTGGTTTTGTCTGAAAAGTGTAACATACGTAACAGTATCAGGAAACGATTGACACCCATAATGTCAATAAAACCTGGAGTTGAAATCAGGCGTTCTGTTGCCCAGTATGTGGTGACAGTGTGCTTATACACATGTGGCCTAAGCATTATTGTGGCAAAAAACAGGTACATCTCTGCCACAGTTGTCTCCTTCCACTGGTGTAGCCGTGATTTTGGTGAGAGAATTGTATTTGCCATGGAGTATTCATAGTATGTATTGGTTTCCCTGACAATGATGTCCATCAGGGGTTCATCGAAGAATAACTCAAAGCATTCCAGTTCACTAGCATTGTTCCCAAGTAGACATGATGGCTTTATTCCACTTTGTGTTTCATCAAAGTCATGGGGATTGGGAACAAACTCATCACCTTCCTGCCAATCCCAGATGCGGTCTGCTGGTGGGTTCTGGATATTGTACCGTGGTTGTGGTTGTGTAGGTTGTGGTTGTGTAGGTTGTGGGAGTGTGGGGTCGGGTGAGGCTGGTTGTTGCTGTGCAGAGTCAGCAGCGTGGGTAGTAGAGTGGCCCGCTGCTGGTGCCACATGGGTCGTGCCACCATCACTATCACCACCACTGCCTGCTCCCTCACTCACATCATTCATACCCATTGTAACAACATAGTCATCTTCACTATCAGGTCGTGGTGTAGGGCCACGGGATGTGCTCCCAGAGTTTCTCCTTCCCCTTGGAACAGCATATGAAACACTACCAGACAACATGCTACGTCGTACATACTGCCGCTTCACTGGGGAATATTCACCCCCACTGTCACAACTAGAACTGCTTTCAATGACCTTGAAATCACTATCACATTCACTGCAAACATCTGGGTGTTGTACACGACCAAATAGTTTCCTCTTTCGTCCTGGTACAGGTGAATGTGAACAAGCCGGCCCAGCACCAGAGGTGGAAGGTTGTGGGTCATCTGGGTTTTCATCACTAATTACGTTATCCTGGGCACTTTTTCGGTCACACTCACTTCAAAACCCTGGAATTCACTGTCACTGACATTTTCATCACTGTTAGAGCTATCACTTGGGAACAAAATTCCTCCAATCTGCCGAGGAGTGAGGAACTTCTTACCGCGAGGCATGGTAAAAATGGACTACCAAGATGGCATTCCCACAATGCACCGCTGAGTCCCAGATTTTTTTCACAGGGTGCACACCGACCACTGAGACCCATTCTCTCTCATGTAGGCCTACCAGGCCTTTCCCGCTTGATTTGAAGCCGCTAGAATTTATGCGTATAAATACGTCAGAAACAGTGGCGCATAAGACGTATTTATACGGCATAAACAGTCAAAGGGTTAAAGGAGGGGTTTGAGATATTGGCAGTTTGGAGGGATATGTTGTGTATCTTTATACGTATATGCTTCTAAACTGTTTGTGTTCTGGGCACCTCTGCAAAAACAGTGATTATGTATGAGTCAGGTGAAACTGTTGAATGATGATAAAAGTATTTTCTTTTAGGGGATTTTCTTTCTTTTTGGGTCACCCTGCCTCGATGGGAGATGGCCAACTTGTTACAAAAAAAAAAAAATGAGAAGCTTTTGTATACATGAGTGGTGGTAAGTTATTTAGGTCTCCTGTGTTGTTCTTTAGTGTTTTGATGACAAGCGAGATTTCAGTGGAGTCTGTTGGGGCTAAAAATAGAGTATTTGAGTAGTTGCCAGTGAGGTAGTCTTTTGGTTGAATGTTTGAGCTTGGGATTTTACTTGTTGGTTTTGTTCCTAAAGTAGAGAAAACAGCATTAAGTTTGTTGGCACTATTGTTTGGCTGAAGGAGAGGTTCATCTGGTTTAGTTAAGTTAATCATTCTGCTTTGTGACAGCTTTTTAGATCCTAGAATTTCAGATAAGGTTTTTCCAGGTTTTTTCATATCACCTTTTATGTCATGAAATCTGTTTTCATAATACAGTTTTTTGGACCTCCTTATTAGATTGGTTAGTACCGGTGGCCTGGTGGCTAAAGCTTCCACTTCAAACACGGAGGGCCCGGGTTCGATTCCCGGCGGGTGGAAACATTTCGACACGTTTCCTTACACCTGTTGTCCTGTTCACCTAGCAGCAAATAGGTACCTGGGTGTTAGTCGACTGGTGTGGGTCGCATCCTGGGGGACAAGATTAAGGACCTCAATGGAAATAAGTTAGACAGTCCTCGATGACGCACTGACTTTCTTAGGTTATCCTGGGTGGCTATCCCTCCAGGGTTAAAAATCCGAACGAAATCTTATCTTATCTTATCCTTTGTTATTAGACCCATTCTGTACTGTTTTTCATATAGATGTTTTTTATCAATAGATTTGAGGATGCTGTTTGTAAGCCAGGGGCTGTTTAGTCTCTTTTCTGTGATCTGCTTAGTTTTTATTGGGCAATGCATGTTATAGAGGTTTTGGGTTCTTTTTTGTAAAAAAATACTGACACATTCATCAATATCAAAGTTGTCTGCTAGCTCGTTTTGCCAGTCAATGTCACTAAATGCTGAAATAAAATTATTAACAGATGACTCGTCATGTAGTCGGAATGTGATCTTGGTCGTGTCCTAGGGCACTTTACACAAGTTGGTTATGAGAAAGATGGGATAGTGGTCAGTGGTGTTATCTGTGATTATGCCTGCTTTTAATGGGGATACAGTGTTTGTCCAGATATGGTCTAGTAATGAGGCATTTGTGTTAGTGATTCTTGTAGGTTTTGTTATTGTTGGTAGAAGCAAGCAGCTGTTCATAGTGTTTGTGAATTCAGTCACTTGTGGGTCATGGTCATGGATGAGATTTATGTTGAAGTCCCCTGTAAGTATTAGGTGGTGCTTGTTCATTTCAGTGCTAGTTATTATGTTTCTTAGTTTTTCACTAAAAGAGTAAATATTGTAGTGAGGAACTCTATAAATTGCTCCAACTGTTAGAGGTTTTGTAAGGTCTTTGGATTTAAATTTAGCAAAGGTAGATAGTAGAAATAAGTAAATGAGCGGTTTCTTGTGCTCAATCAATAGAAGGAACACTAGCAAAATAGCTATGAGTTTGGTGGACTGGAACAAGGAAATTGACCAAAAATAGAGCACAAAGTGGCTGAAATCACTGATGCGTAAACATCACTGAGACCGCTAAATTTGCAAGAGCATAATTCCATAAGTTTTCCATCAAATTTCGCACTTCTGGTTTCATTGCCTTCGAAAAAGATTCTCTATCATTTCATAAGATATTCTTTTTTTTTTTTTGAAAATTCTTTGACCTGAGAGCAAGTTTGAGAGCAGGGGTCTCAACACTGAAAGGGTTAATTATTTTCATGATTAGAAAAAGTGAGTACTTTGTATCTGAAGTCCTTACTCCAAGTTGACTTAATTTTCAACAGAAGGAAATATTTTGTTTACTAACCTGATGGCCTAAAAGGCAATGAAGAGGAATAATTCTGCCATTGTTGTCTCTCTCTCCCCAGGGTCCCCATATTATTAATTGATTAGATACCATTCCTGCCAAGAGGACAGCACTTTCCCAGGAGCCAGACATCATCACCACACGACCACAGAACAGCACACATTTTTCAGTACACTCAGCAGTGGCTACTATAGGATTGTTTTCTTTTTGAAAGTTAATGACTTGCTGCTGAATGTCATTAGGTATGTTTAAATAAGTGATATTCTTACGATTCTCTGAGAGATGGCCAGAGCTTAAAACTGACAAGTCTCCATAATAAATGTTTTCTTCTCTCTTGTCTAATGGCTTTGTTACTACACATATAGTTTTGCTGCCTTCTCGTTGACTGTTTTCAAAAGTGAATTTGTCATTCAAAAGTTCTTGTAAGTTTTGAATATGAAAACGTAGAAGAGAGTTGTGTGCCAGAGCAAGAACAATGTGTGAGAAATCATGTTCCCAAGCAGCATCCACTATCCAGTCTCCAAATAATCTTTCTTCCATAAAGACACAACTGAAATGTAAAGAAACAAATATAATTAAAGTCAGCTCTTTTATAAAGCTTCCCTACATGCTGTAATTTTTCATAAATGCAATGGAAAAAGTGGATAAAAAATTTAACAATTCATACCAAAATGGCATTTTCAAGCACTATTCAACTGTAGATGCACTTTTTCAAATGCATATATGAAAAATTACACAACAGTATAAAGGAGCTGACTAATACAAAACTCACATTTTTTAAATTAGTCTTTTTAGAATACTGAAAAATAATATTAGTTATAGCATCAAGGTGGAGACATTTTGTGGGAATGAATCACTGGCCCAATCACCATAGAAATAGAAGTTAAGTATGAGTATCTTTGCTAAACTACAATCAAACCCACACTATTTGCAGATGACACTACATACGTCTTCTCTCGCCCAAGCCCAGTCATGCTAGCCAGTACTCTAAATACCGAATTACAGAAAATATCTACCTGGATGATGATTAACAAACTTACTCTCAATATTGACAAAACCTAATTCATACAGTTTAGAAACAGAACCACCAATGTCCCTCTTAACATAATGATAAATGGATCACCTATCACAAACCTCACAGAGGGAAAATTCTTAGGAATTCACCTTGATAATAGACTCAAATTTCAAACACATATACAACACATTTCGAAGAAAATCTCCAAGACCGTAGGCATACTATCGAAGATACGGTACTATGTTCCACAGTCAGCCCTCCTGGCCCTATATCACTCACTCATTTACCCCTATCTCACCTACGGAATTTGTGCATGGGGCTCAACAACAATAAACCATCTCAGACCATTAATTACCCAACAAAAGGCTGCAGTCAGAATCATAACAAATTCCCACTACAGGCAGCATACTCCACCAATATTCAAAACTCTGAACTTACTCACCGTACAAAACATCCACACTTATTATTGTACCTACTACATACATAGAACACTTAAATCAGATATAAACCCTCCCCTCAAACATCTCCTTACCAACCTCAACAGAACACATGACCACAACACAAGGCACAGATCACTCTTTGATGTTCCTCGTGTCCATCTCACACTATGCAAAAACTCAATGCACATAAAAGACCCAAAAATCTGGAATTCATTACCTGTGAATATAAAAGAAACACTGTCTGCTTATCAATTCAAGACTTTTCTTAAAAACCACTTACTCACCCTCAACTAAATAAATACTGATTAACTCTTTCAGGGTTTCGGACGTACTAGTACGGCTTAAGCACCAGTGTCCATGACGTACTAGTACGCATAAATTCTACAGCCTTCAAATCTAGTGAGAGAAAGCTGGTAGGCCTACATATGAAAGAATGGGTCTATGTGGTCAGTGTGCGCAGTATAAAAAAAATCCTGCAGCACAGTGCGTAATGAGAAAAAAAAAACTTTGACCGTGTTTTTGGATTAAAACAGAGAATTTGCACTATACAGTGGACCCTCGACCAATGATACCATCGTTTAACGTTAAATCCGACTAGCGATACATTTTAATGCAAAAATATTGCCTCGACTAGCGCTAAAAAACCTGACCAACACTATTCATTCCGTTCGAGACGCGTCCACTTGTGGCCTGAGCGCGCCTCACTTGTCCCGTGGGTGCCAGTGTTTACAAGCCAGCCAGCCACTGAGGTCCCATCCAAACATACAATCGGAACATTTCATATTATCAGAGCGTTTGTAGTGATTGCACCTGCAAAGTAAGTCACCATGGGCCCCAAGAAAGCTTCTAGTGCCAACCCTACAGCAAAAAGGGTGAGAATTACTATGGATATGAAGAAAGAGTTGCTCTTTGCTGATGACACTGTGCTCTTGGGAGATTCTGAAGAGAAGTTGCAGAGGTTGGTGGATGAATTTGGTAGGGTATGCAAAAAAAGAAAATTAAAAGTGAATACAGGAAAGAGTAAGGTTATGAGGATAACAAAAAGATTAGGTGACGAAAGACTGGATATCAGACTGGAGGGAGAGAGTATGGAGGAGGTGAATGTATTCAGATATTTGGGAGTGGACGTGTCAGCGGATGGGCCTATGAAAGATGAGGTGAATCATAGAATTGATGAGGGGAAAAGGGTGAGCGGTGCACTTAGGAGTCTGTGGAGACAAAGAACTTTGTCCTTGGAGGCAAAGAGGGGAATGTATGAGAGTATAGTTTTACCAACGCTCTTATATGGGTGTGAAGCATGGGTGATGAATGTTGCAGCGAGGAGAAGGCTGGAGGCAGTGGAGATGTCATGTCTGAGGGCAATGTGTGGTGTGAATATAATGCAGAGAATTCATAGTTTGGAAGTTAGGAGGAGGTGCGGGATTACCAAAACTATTGTCCAGAGGGCTGAGGAAGGGTTGTTGAGGTGGCTCGGACATGTAGAGAGAATGGAGCGAAACAGAATGACTTCAAGAATGTATCAGTCTGTAGTGGAAGGAAGGCGGGGTAGGGGTCGGCCTAGGAAACGTTGGAGGGAGGGGGTAAAGGAGGTTTTGTGTGCGAGGGGCTTGGACTTCCAGCAGGCATTCGTGAGCGTGTTTGATAGGAGTGAATGGAGACAAATGGTTTTTAATACTTGACGTGCTGTTGGAGTGTGAGCAAAGTAACATCTATGAAGGGATTCAGGGAAACCGGCAGGCCTGACTTGAGTCCTGGAGATGGGAAGTACAGTGCCTGCACTCTGAAAGAGGGGTGTTAATGTTGCAGTTTAAAAACTGTAGTGTAAAGCACCCTTCTGGCAAGACAGTGATGGAGTGAATGATGGTGAAAGTTTTTCATTTTTCGGGCCACCCTGCCTTGGTGGGAATCGGCCAGTGTGTTAATAATAAAAAAAAAATGAAGAAAGAGATCACTGCTAAGTATGAAAGTGGAGTGCGTCTCTCCGAACTGGCCAGGTTGTACACAAAACCCCAATCAACCATCGCTACTATTGTGCACAAGAAAACGGCAATCAAGGAAGCTGTTCTTGCCAAAGGTGCAACTATGCTTTCGAAACTGAAATCGCACGTGATAGAAGATGTTGAGACACAGATAGCAGGAGATAGTCTCTCTCAAGCGATTATATGTGAAAAGGCTAGGAAGTTGCATGACGATTTAATTAGAAAAATGCCTGCAACTAGTGGTGATGTGAGTGAATTTAAGGCCATCAAAGGTTGGTTTGAGAGGTTTAAGAATCATAGTGGCATACATAGTGTGATAAGGCATGGTGAGGCTGCCAGTTCGGACCACAAAGCGGTTGAAAAATATGTGCAGGAATTCAAGGAGTACATAGACAGTGAAGGACTGAAACCTGAACAAGTGTTTAATTGTGACGAAACAGGCCTGTTTTGGAAGAAAATGCCAAGCAGGACCTACATTACTCAGGAGGAAAAGGCACTCCCAGGACATAAGCCTATGAAAGACAGGCTTACTCTGTTGATGTGTGCAAATGCTAATGGTGATTGCAAAGTGAAGCCTTTATTGGTGTATCACTCTGAAACTCCTAGAGTGTTCAGGAAAAACAATGTCCTCAAGGCTAATTTGTGTGTGCTGTGGAGGGCAAACAGTAAGGCATGGGTCACTAGGAACTTTTTCTATGACTGGTTACACCATGCATTTGCCCCACTGTGAAAAATTACCTCCTGGAAAATAAATTGGACCTTAAGTGCCTCCTGGTATTAGACAATGCTCCTGGTCATCCTTCAGACTTGGCAGAGCGACTTTCTGGGGACATGAGGTTCATTAAGGTGAAGTTTTTGCCTCCTAATACCACTCCTCTCCTGCAGCCCATGGACCAGCAGGTCATTGCAAAGTTCAAGAAACTGTACACAAAAGCTCTGTTTGAAAGGTGCTTTGTAGTGACCTCAGAAACTCAACTGACTCTAAGAGAGTTTTGGAGAGATCACTTTAGCATCCTCAATTGTGTAAACATTATAGGTAAGGCTTGGGAGGAAGTGACTAAGAGGACCTTGAACTCTGCTTGGAAAAAAACTGTGGCCAGAATGTGTAAACAAAAGGGATTTTGAAGGGTTTGAGGCTAACCCTGGGAATCCTATGCCAGTTGAGGAATCCATTGTGGCAATGGGGAAGTCCTTGGGGTTGGAGGTTAGTGGGGAGGATGCAGAATAGTTGGTGGAGGAGGACAATGAAGAACTAACCACTGATGAGCTGCTAGATCATCTTCAACAACAAGAGGCAACACCTGAGGAAACTGCTTTGGAGGAGGGGATAGAGAAATTGAAGAAGTTGCCTACTTCAAAGAATAAGGAAATGTGTGCAATGTGGCTTAAAGTGCAAACCTTTTTTGATGAAAATCACCCTCACACAGCTATTGCAAGCCGTGTTGGCAACCTGTACACTGACAATGTTGTGAAAACACTTTAGGAATATCATAAAGGAATGGGAGGTACAGGCCTCTATGGACAGATATGCTGTGCGACAGAGGTCCAGTGACTCTCAAGCTGGTCCTAGTGGCATTAAAAGAAGAAGGGAAGTAACCCCGGAAAAGGACTTGACACCTCAAGTCTTAATGGAAGGGGATTCCCCTTCTAAACACTAACACCATCAACACTCTCTCCTCCTCCCATGCCATCAATCATCACCAGATCTTCAATAAAGGTAAGTGTCATGTAACTGTGCATGTCTTCATCAGTTTGTGTGTATTAAAATTAATATTTCATGTGGTAAAATTTTTTTTTTCAACACTTTGGGGTGTCAGGAACGGATTAATTTGATTTCCATTATTTCTTAGGGGAAAATTAACTCGACTAACGATAATTTCGATTAACGATGAGCTCTCAGGAACGGATTAATATCATTGGTCGAGGGTCCACAGTATTTTTGTATGGTATTTATTGTTGTACAGGTCCTCCATCACAAATCCGGCATCACTGGGACCTGTAGTGTGCCGGATTACTGAGTTTGCCGGATTACAGAGTGGTTAGGTTAGAATACACTTAATAAAATTAACCAACATGACTTGCACAAAGTTCATTGAACGCCAGCAAAAATCGAACA